CTAGGGTAGGTCCTCGGTGAGCACCCCCTCTGCTGGGTTCAGAAACCGGGTGCTCGACTTGCAGTGTTTATTTCACTTGTCGATATATGTCCAGACGGTACGATAAGCCGGGTTTCGGCTTCATACTTCCTGGATCATGCGGCCAGGTCACAGGATTCTGCAGGAGCCTTTTTGATCATCAGGCCCCCGGCACGGCACTGCAAAAATTTCCTGGACGTCCGGGCTGGGCTTATGCTTTCAGGCTGCCCTGTCTGGTCTACCGTATCTAGGTCGCCCTGAGGGGCCTCCCGATCACCAGGATATCCCATCTTGCTGAGACATAGAGCGGGAAGTATAGGTGGCATTTGAAAGAACCTTCTTGTGTAATGCTGTTTCAGGCAGTGCTCCCCTCACCTTAGAGGGTTGTATTTGAGCTTGACTCTCCCATTTGGCTCACTATTTAAAAAAAATCCATGTTATGGTAAGTGTGCACGTGAAGTATTTGTACACTTTCTAAAATCCACACTGTGGTAAGTTCGCACGCTAGTACTCTGCGTTCTTTTCTAGAATCCTGTATGGTAAGAGCTACGAGCAGCAGCTTCGTGCTCTTTCTGAGTGGTTTAAAACCCCGATTCCGCCTTGGGCACCACTCCACCTATGTATCCTCTGGATACCTACTTTAACAGGGTGTTGCTACTAGAGGTCTTTTGAGACAGTTCCTTCAGCATATACAGAGCGTGCGGTAGCCCCTGTGTGACAGGCCAAGACTTAGTATGATTCTAGGCTCTTGGTCGTATTCCCTTAAAGGAATCTATCCTGATTCCAAGCCTTGAGCTCTACCCCGGGCCCAGGAGTTCTGGCCCTAACAGATACGTTTTTTGGGGGGGTATGTATCCTAGGCCTTTGGCCGTAGGGAATAATGTCACTGACAGCCGTCTAACATCCACAGGGGCAACTCCCATGGCAATATGGTAGAGTTGGTACTTAGTGCTCGCCATGGTTTCTGGCATGCACTCTTCACCATTCAATTGGTTCTTTTTAGACCTGGTTCAGAATCATTTGTTTGAGAATCAAACCATACTTATGCTATATGTTTTGAATTCACCTGTAAGAACTGGTTAATAAGAGTCATTTGTTCAAGAAACTCACTACATTGTGTGCATTTTATTTTTACTTTTTTTTTCATTTAAAACAACTGACTCATCAGAACTATTTGTTTGGTAAAACGGTTGGACTGGCTTCACTGTTTGTTCTCATAAGATTCATTTGTGCAGAAATTTGACTTCCAGATTGCACTGTATGTTTTGATTCACTAAAAAGAACTGGTTTAATTTAATTCATTCAGGAATCAGACCACACTGTAACCACTCCTTTTGTGCACAAATCTTACAACTGGACTCACTGTATGTTTTGATTCACTTTAAAGAGCTGGTTCATAAGAGTCATTTGTTTAAGAATCAAGTACACTGTGCGCATGGAACTGAATAGACCAGGTACTTAGTTTGTTTTATGATTCATCTGCAAGATCTGGTTCAGAAGAGTCCTTAGTTTGTAAAAATTGGTTGGCATTGTCAGTTTTTGATTCACTACAAAGAACTGGCTCAAAGAGTCATACATTTGGGAATCAGACTCCACTGGTGTGACCGTGCTGCATGTTTTTGATTCCCTTAAAAGAGCCTGCTCATAAGAATAATTTGTTTGTGAATCTTACTTCAAATGCTTTTGATTCAGTAAAAAAAACCAAATTGCAAGCCTAAATGTTTTCTCTTGCTGTGATCCTGTAGTTTAGCGAGGAGTACCTGAGGAAGATGCCGAGGGGTGGATGGCCGCGGGTGATTGTGGTTGCTGATGGTTCGTGTGGAGACTCCTGCTCGGTTCTGGGCATCAGCGCTGATTACATCGTAGAATCATGTCGCGCTTACGGCGCCAATGCTACTATAGAAAGACTGGACCAGAGACAGGTGAGATGCTTATATGCAAGTCTTTCAGAAAGCCCATGAAATCAAATTTGGAGTTTCGTTGCTTTTAGTACATGTCTATTAATAGCTTGACAAGTTGATAAATGTGCACTTAAGTGGATTTTTATTAATATATTATCTGCAAGTACATAAAAAAAAAAAAAAACTTTTAACATTTGAAACACTTCAAGTGTACATTCAATACAATTAAGCACACATCTTTTTCATGGTTATATTAAATAAAAATCTGTATTATAATTTAATTGATTTTAGGTGTTTCTTAATGTTAAATATTGATTAATAATGATGATAAAAGCCAAAGTGAATACAGGTAGTTGTTACCTTAATAAGCTAAAATTACTCTAAAATCAAATGTAAAAGGTTTAGTTGTGTAACCTCAGCATACATCCAAATACATGTAACAATGTTTGCCATTAATTAAACTATTGAAATTAGATGCTTTCACACAAAGTACATTTTAATGTGATTTTAAAAAATAGGGGCCATTCACACAGAATGCATTTTTTTCATTTCTTTACTTTTCCATTGTTTTTCTATGTAAACGGACATGCTAGACTATGTGTATGACCGTTGTACTCATGTCTTGCCTCTTTTGCAGCGTCTCGCACATGAGTGCCATGTTTTTAAGACAAGTTAAAATAATTTCAACTGTTACATGCAGTTACTTCAATGTCAGTTCCAAAACAGTGGACCAATCAGAAGATCCCGGAGGCGGGGCAAGCATTGCAAGCTTTTGTTTACAGTAGCAAATTGGCATGGCAAGTGTTTTATTTGATTCCAACATGCTGAACGGTGCTTTTTAAAAACATTTTAATCCATTTTAGATGCAGAGTTCTATGTGAACGGCCCTTTACAGTGCATATTCATTTTTCTTTCTTTCTCCTTGAATCATTATACCGTATCACACCATTACATCTCAGTAGCAACCCTTTTTTCCTCTTCCCATGCTATTATTCTCAGAAATTTCTCATTTGAGTTCTTGAATATGAATCGAGTGTTAGTCCGAGCGCTCTGTGGTCATGAGGTCATCAGGGTCCTACTGGGCTGATTCATTTTATGAATATGGCTGAGGAAATTAAGCCATTATGAATAATAATAGAGTCTATTTCTGCCAGCAGTAAACACTGATGATGCAGGTGAGGCGGAGAGAAGCTGCAGCCTCCATCATTAGCACATGTTATGAGGAACAGATTCTGTCTGTAATTTGATTGTTTTTACACAGGTTTAGAATGACAGTTTGTATAATTGATTTTTCTCTCTGTCTTTAGTTAATGGGCTTTTTGTTTGAACAGATGGTATTGCGGGTTTAGCTAACGCAGATAACCAAGGTCAGCTAGCGTCCCCCGGCAGGCTGTGTTAGTATACTGTTATGTATACAGTAATTCATCAAACAAGCTTTAGCAACCTTGATAAGGTTCAGAGATAAGCAGGGTTTCAGTCTAATTAGTGGAACTGAAACCTGGCTCTGAATATTGAGGATTCATGACTATCAGTACCAGTTGTTACCAGTATTCACGCTCTCTGTGAGCCTTAAAGGGACGTTCACCCAAAAATTAAAATTTTGTGATCTTTTACTGAACACAAAAGATATTCTGAAGAATGATGGCGACCAAGCAGTTTCGTCAATGTCAATGGGAACCAGAACCAACATTATTCAAAATATCTTATCATATCTAATCACATCCAATCATTTTGAGATTGCGCATAACTTTTGGAGAGAAATAGCGCAGAGACTGGACAATGATTAAATTTTCTAGTGCCCATGTGCTTTCAAATGAAATATACTTTAAAAGGCTTGCGTTCGGCTGTACACTAGCGTACATGTAAAAAATTTTGTATATTTTGGGTTTCAGAATTAAACAGGCTGTCCTAGCAGACATGTGGCCTACCTTCAACATTGAAATGCGGTTGAAATAATATTGCTTGTTCCCTTTCGATACTTCACTCGTACTGCATCTTGCTTAAGACGCATATGGAAAAAAAGCCTTTTTTTCTCCTGAACTGAAGCCTTTTTTCATTCATGCAGTGAAACTGCACGGCCATTGGTTCGTGCAAAGCTTCAAAAACGAACCAATGGCTCGGCAGCG